TCCATCAGTTGCACGCATTAACCCATGACAAAGCTCAATCGCGCCAGATTCCAGCACTAAAAGTACATTGAATTAGAAGAGTTTGATGGTACGAGGCCTCATGCAGGATTGAAGGCCACATCTTGAGGCACCAGGGCTGTTTGGCTTATGTGGAACTGAACTCAGGAGCAAGACAGACTTGCACATCCACTTCCAGGCTGAAGCGTTCAGCTTTCTGGGAGGCAACGCATGGATTGCGAGGAAGGATGACAGGCTTCCAACACGCCTCGAGCTGCAGCTGAACCAGACACCGTGGCTCTTGTACGGCACACAGACGCGGGGCCACCCACTAACAAAATATTAAAAAAACATCCGATCACTCAATCCACGACTGTTTGTGGGACGCTGCTGTGTGCAATTGGTTGCCGTGTTTCGCCCACTAAATACACAATCGATCCACTTGACAGTGTGTTCTGTGAAGCCCTTTGAGACGTCTCAATGCCGCGATGAGGCGCTATATCAAATGCAAGGATTATTATTTTTAATATAATTCAGAATAAACTTTTAGACCTGAAAATGTATACTTAATATACCTGCTTTGATGTTTCGGATACCACAAACCTGGGCTAATCTCTCTGAGTTGTTCTCATTGCAGTGTGTGTGGAGAAGCAGCATGAGAAACAGATTGGTTATTCCACGTAATTGAATTGCTGGGACTGGGAGCCCTGGCCTGCTGCTCCCTAAATGTACCACAATTAGCACTCCGAGAGCTTTTAACAAGGAGTTGCGTGGCTCTACAAATCATTAGCGCGCTTCCTTTCATTTCCATCAGAAAATCGTAGGAGGACAGCTCCCCCAGCCAAATGCTCCACTTCATGTCCACATTCAGTGGTGCTGGCAGGCAGGCAGCCTGCCCGCCCGGGATGAACCAGACTTCGTGGCTCTTGTATGGCACACATCTGTTTGTAATGCTCACAATTAAATGGGCGTTTTAAGATAAATTTGACGTCACAACAATGCCGTGTGGAATCCCAGTGGTTCCGTTCCCCTCATTTACCATCGCTAATAAAAGAAAGCAAAGGCAGCCTCCCACGGATAAAGTCTTCACACCAGATCTACTACAGACCACGACAGCATGATAACCGTGCCTGCCTGCCATTCTCAGATGCTGTTGAAAGCCTCGTGGGCCAGATGTGCCTCTCCCCTGCAAACTGTATAGCTCCGACCTGCAGCAATATTCACATATGGGAGGCTCACATAAGTAGGGCACCATAAGTCAAAGACATAGAAAATTTACTACTAACCAGAGCTAAAAGAACTCATAAGAGGCCTCTCACGCAAATCAATTTAGCACAGAGAGAAAAGCACTGCTGAGAGTCCAGCAACAATACTCTTGGGGAATGTTCAACGGGAGTAAGTGGAGCTCTCAGTCTGTGTCCTTGGGAGTGCGTCCTCTGTGCTTCTCAATAAACTCCATTTCACTGCTCAAGAACAGGAAGCCTAGACCACACATCAATAATTTGTGAGCAACGCAGGCAGGGCTCATTCACCGTTTCCTCATGTGCTCAGTAACACGTGAGCAATCAGGCAGCTCGTCAAATATACATGAAGCCAATCGGCCCGGGCTAGGAATTAAAAATTAAAAGGCCAAGGCTAACAGAGAGCGAATGCTCTTAAACATCCACACAAAAGCAATATCAAACCTCCACAAAAGGACAAGCCCAATGTGGAAATGAGGTGATAGATTTAATAAAACCACAGTTAACATCAGCAGCTTGGAAAGCAGAGATTGAAACGTTGGCTAAGCTGGGGACCGTTTCCCCCGGCTCCCTGGACAAGGTGAAAGGCTCCTGCTGCGATCCACTCCGAACTCAGCACCGAACCTCAGTCGGGCTGGGACCTGTTTAGAGAATCGAACGTCTTTGGTGAACGATGGGCAGACGGAGCTCGCTGGCCCTGAACACTGGGCACACGTTGGCTGAAATGATGCTGGCAGTTTACAAAGGTGCTAATCACAAGTGCTGGATTCTGGCCAAAGCAGCATTGCACTGAGACCGTTCATCACTGCTGCACTTTACACAGCTCAGGGAAGAGATTGAATCCTACAGGTGCAATTGCTGGACGATAGCCATCTGTCCTCCCGACTTGAAAGGCGGTGTGTAAATGTAAACTACACTGTGTTCATTGCACACCTGGCAGTCTGTGTTAGAGGAGCCTTTGTGCAGAATGGACATATGCCAAGGTGGGGACGGGTCTGAGCAAATGTTACAAACCCATCCCGTAAGCGTGCCACACACTTAATGCTCACTACATCAACTGCGGCAGGAAGTGTGCTGACAACGAGCAAATCATCCCCCGCAGAGTCAAGCATACAGGAGAGGAGAGGAGGCCTGGAGAAAAATGCTTCCACTGAAAAAAAAGACATCCGAAACAGGCTGCGACCAGATACATCTCAGCAAACATCTCATAACTTCTGTCCTTATATTCACTACAGCACCCAGAAAGCTGAAACATCTCAAAGTGTTGCATGGGGAAATCGCAGTCAAGTGTAGTGACTATTTGTACACTGCAGCAACATGCGCCCCATCCCCCAACCCCCCGAGTGATGCCTTTCACTCAGACACTGTCAGTTGCTGCTAACAGGGTGGGCTGGGAACCTGTAGCAATGGTCCCTCCAGTGAAACACAACCACAAGGTGTGCACAGACCCTCCACTGTCTCATTCTATTCCAACAACAGCTGAATAGTAATTACAACCTTCACTCAAATGTGAAATGTCAGGTCTTTTCCCCAGAGAGTTCACAACTTCACCACAGCCTGACTTTGCTTCTCAAAGCAAAATCTCAGGAAAGGAATCGACTTTCACCTGAAGTTGGAATGAGGAGTTCTCAGTCCCAGAGGCAGCAAAGTGACAGCGACCTTTCACTTCTGCTCCTCCCTCCGCACGAGGCCACACAGCAATTGCAGGGTCAGGTCTGCTCCACCCACTGAGGCGTGAAACCCTATGCCCAGCTCAGCCCTTCCCTCTTTTTCTCTCCCTCCCTCCCTCTCCGAGCTTCTTGCAGACCAACTATTCCAGGTTAACCCAGAGGCTGAGAAACCTGTGGGTGCAGACTGGTTACTGCACAAAAACTGCACTGACTTTGGCACCACTTTTAAAAGTGTTTCGTCCGTAAAACATACAGTCAATTCACTTTACGGTATATTCTGTGAAGCGCTTTGAGATGTCTCGAAGACGTGATAAGGCGCTATATCAAATGCAAGGATTATTATTAGTATTATTATTATTCCCCACATATACGCTGTTAGGAACAGGACCGAACTGGCTATGGAATGTGACCGCTCTTCCAGGCTTTTCAGAAACGCAACTCAACTTCTCCTGGTGACTTTGCTTCAACATTTTGTGACTTGGCGAGGAAATACTTGCCAGAAGCCAAATGTTTCCAGAATAAATGCAGAGCAGGTTCCTCAGGCTTACAGCACTCAGCCAGCCACATGCTGGGATGAACTGTTAGGAATTAGTAGATAAGCTTGGGCTCTTCAGCTTTGAAAAGAGACGTCTCACACAAAACAGGATCCATAAGTTTCCATAAAAGACAACAGAAATTTAAACCAAAACCAAAACACTGGGTGCAGTAGAAATCTGGGACTGTTTCCCTCCCCCAAAAGGCTGTTGGATCAATTCAAGTTTCCCAAGACTGAGGTGTATAGATTTTTGTTAGGTAAGGACATCAAGGGATATGGAGCAAAGGCGGGTAAAACTGGAGTTGAAGTACACATCAGCAATGATCCAATACAATGGCAGAACAGGCTCAAGGGGGCTGAATGGCCTCCTCCTGTTCTTGATGTACTAAAACACTATTTAGATAAGCCAAGGCAAAAGAATAGAAAGGTGCGGGTTCAGAAAAACTGCTCGCTCGTAGCTGTCTTGAGCGAACTGATCTCACGTGAGATGGCGGAGGAGGTGCTGGAATTAGCCTCGGCAACACTGGGCCCAAAGGGAAACTTACTGAACTGAAAAGAGTTCACCTTCCCGCAGACACCACTATTGATTGGAGCAGGAATAATCATGTGGGAAATGCAGCCAAGATGGACTGAGTTCTGAGATGAAGAGTTTTTGACAATCCTGAAAAGTCTATTTAGCAGAATTCAGATGTCGATATCTCAGCAAATGGAACAGGATCCGTTTTGCTCTTGCCCTTTCCATACTCGCCGAGTCTAAGTGAATCCACCCTTATTACGGTTACATTTTGTGAGGGGGGAAAAAAGAGCAGCTTTAAATATTCAGTGAGGCTGGAGTCCAGCAGCTGCAATAGGTTAGAGAATGACCTTTCAGCTGGTATCAGACACAATCACAATAGCCAGACAGAAAGAGAGACAGACAGACACAGAGAGAATACACCGTAAAGTCTCTCTCTCTCTCGACCGTATATTTTGTGGGCGAATCGTGGCAGCAAATTAAGCACAGCAGAGTCCCACAAACATTCGTAGACTGAGTGACCAAATTAATATTCTTTTTTTTAAAAGGGATTATTACCCCTCAAAAAGAGATCGACTCACAACCGGGTTCTACTTACTGCAAGGTAAACGGGAGGCATGTGGAGTAAGGAATCTTTTCTAAGGTTTTGCCCCGCCCAGGAATCGCTTGTGAGGCGAGTGCTCTTGGACTGAGCGGGCAAGGGAGCTCTGAGTACACAGGACAATACTTTAATACAAAACAGCAAAGTGTGGAAAAGCAGCATGACCCCCACCAGCACTGCTCGAGATTACTCTCATCTGACATCTCCGCTGCACGCACAACTCAGACCCGTACCCCTTCCTCCAGACTAGGGACCGAAAATCAGAGAAACTACCAACAATGTGGAAATGAAAGAAAATGGCTAACGAAAGCTCCACATCCCCTGGGAGTGATGAACACTGGATTTAAATGCCATCACTAAGTGCAAAGGGGCACTAATCGAGTTCTCCCCAGTGACAGACTGATAAGAGTCTATCAATGCGTGACTGATAGAGAGCACCCACCTTGTTGGACCATTTGTAGGCCTGTAAAAGTTGGCTGTATAGGGGCGTTTTGTCCTGCACCGGATCAAGGCTCAACAGACCACTGTTGTGAAGTGGGTGACTCTCTGATGGACGTCCCACCAGGTTACTCAGACGTTCCAGCTCACTGCAAGGCAAAAGGGGCAGCAGCTCAGTCACTGCCTGATAAGGAACTATAAGCTTCCAATTCATCATAATAATAATCCTTGCATTTGATACAGCGCCTCATCAGGTCGTTGAGACATCTCAAAGTGCTTCAGAGAATATACTGTAAAGCGAATCAACTGTATATTTTGTGGGCAAAGTTTGGCAGCCAATTGCGCATAGCAGTCGTGGATTGAGTGACCAAATTTTTTTGTATACAACAACAACAAAATTACATTTGTATAGTGCCTTTCACGCCGGGAGGACATCCCAAGGCTCCTGACAATCAACGTTTCGGACAGAGGAAAGGCCAGGGGTCCTAGTCCATCCGGCAACTCCAAAAGTTATTTAACAATTATTCTTCACCACATCTTTCCTCCTCAATTTAATTCTTCTGATACAGCACATTAGCACCTCAAATCACTTCAAAGTTCTTCACACAAAGAGTTACTTGCCGTTATGTGAGCAAATGTAGGGTTTATCTGATGCCGTAACATCTCAAAAAGGAGTGACAGAGAGTGTTACTCAGGGAAGTGTCAAAATATCAAACCTTTTGTGGACAGCTAGAAAAACACTAACTAACCACAAGTAGTGACGGCATGAACCACAAATCATAAATACAGAAGACCAGCTTTGCCAAACAGTCAAATCTTCCCAATGAGATGCCTGATCTCAACACTGGACAGCAATTTCACTAAAGTGCATCTGTCTTCTTTGCAATTTTCACATACAAGAACTGAAGACATACAAGTTAATTACTTAGATCATTTGTTTGGGTCTAAGGCGAAGAGGCAGTTAGATTCAAACAGCCTCTTCCTCTTCAATATACATGAGCCAAGCCAAAAGATGCAAATCTAGATCCTGATTCAGTCTTTCGATGGTGATCAGCACACAATCCTCGATCACTGCCAAGCTTCAGTCACTTTTACGTATTGGAATCCAATCACTTTTATATTAAGTAGGTTTATGCTAAGTGCTCATTAGATTGAATTGCTGAGTGATTCAATATTGCAAATAGGCTACATTTTAACTGGAGTTCATAGAAATCTTAATTCAAAGCTAAGTCCTTCCCCAGTCATGCTTTATAAGGGCTTCTCTGACTAATGGAAAAGCACAGGGAAGGATGAAACATGAACCCTTCACCCTCTAAATCATTGGAATATCTCCTACCAACCCGTCGGTTACAGTGGAGTGCTCTCAGTTGCTGGACCACAGGGACCCACAGCACTTTTCTCCAATTCACCATCCTTTATCTGTGAATCCATAGAGTGAATGTGGGCAGATTGTGGGGGGGACGGAGATCACAGCCATTTCTGATCCTATCCTTAACCCAACATCCTAGCATACACGTTTAACAACAAGAGGTCATCAGTCTCCTCTCTCACCACACTCCCCTCACTGAGATTACTTCTCTTGTGGCCATGGCTGAGATTGTCTTAATCACTGTCTTAATCACTTAACCAGGGCCTTTCTGAGAACAATATTTTGGTTGAGTTTATCTGTGTGACAAGTAGTGAGAAGGGCAGACACAGCACCTACATGTTCCTCTCTGAACAGCCAATTCATCTAAAATTTTGAGCTGTGACATCTAGGAAATGTACTGCACGGTTATTTGAAATAGCAGCACAGGATCTTTTAATGCTCTCATTAAAATCTTACGCAAAAGGTACCTCAGCTAAACGAGTCATTCGATAAATGATGATGATCAGGAACAAATAATTAATGCATGTATTTAATATAGCATGACTTTGTGTTGAATGTACTAAACCCTTTCATTTGTGCAGTTAAGCGTGCATGCCCTTTTGTTTCCTCATAGAGGATATTTGCTTTGACTACACCAACTCTCTGCTCGTCTGTCTTCCCAACTCTTCCCTCCATATGCTGAAGATCACCCAGAACTCTACAACTCACAGTCTTAAGATATCTACCAAAAGAAGCAGAGGGGAGGTTAGAAGAATTTTTTTCACTCAGCGAGTTGTTCAAATTTGGAATGAACTGCCTGAAAGGGTAGTGAAATCCGATTCGATAACAGCTTTTAAGAGAGAACTGGATAGGTATCTGGGGAAGACGGGTTTGCAGAGTTATGGGGAGAAAGCTGGTGATTGGGGTTAGTGAAAGTGATGGCCGCCTTCTGTGCCGTAACATTCTATGAATCTATGAAAATCTATGAAAAACTCATGTCCTCTCCCGCACCAGGCTCCGTGACCTTATCACCCTCGCCCAGCTCCACTGGCTCCCCATCCTCCAGAAGATAAGAGTTCAAAATCGATCCCAGTCAATTTGCCTCGCTCCCTCCCTTTCCTCCTTTCAAGGCACGTCTCAAGACATTCCTCTTCGACCGTGCCTCCTCCCCTCCTGATCCCTCCCAACCCCCAGCTCGAGTGCAAATCCCTCACTGTCCAGCACCTCGGGTCATCCTCCCGACGTGAAAGTGTAATGTGTTGTTGTTATTCAATAAGAGATGAAGGAATGGAAAGCCCTGAAAACTCAGCTGCCACACAAAGTAACAATTGCATCCTGCACATACAGTATTACTGTGCCCAGGCAGCACAAGATTCATGGAGTCCTGTAGCTCAGAGCAAGTGAGAGACCTGAGTTCAATTCCAGGCAGAGGGCGAAACCTTGGGCAAGTTTCCTTACCCCACGTAGAGCCTAATAATATTCCCTCCAAAACAATAATAAATTGATCATTTTGAATCCACGACTGTTTGTGGGACATTGCTGTGCGCAATTGGCTGCCGCGTTCGCCCTCAAATACACAGTCAATTCACTTTACAGTGTGTTCTGTGAAGCGCTTTGAGACGTCGAGAAGATGTGAAAAGCGCTATATCAAATGCGAGGATTATTATTATTATTATTATGGTAACTAACGAATGTGTGTGTGTGTGTGTGTGGGGTTGGGGCACAATCCCAGGGCAAAGCGTAGAGACCTGGCGGTGGAGGACACAGCTTCACAGGCCTGACATGTCCTGATCAGAGGCCACCAGGAGATGAAGTGCGGTGTCTCTCTGTGCACAGGACACTGAGGGCTGACTGAGGGCTGAGGGCCGAGGCCTCGCCGCTCGGGCCCCGGGGCTTCACACTCACTTCAGGTCGCGGTTGACGGAGTGCAGGTTCTCTTGGAAGTCGCTGATGAAGGCCTTCTCGCGGCCCTCCAGCGTCTCCTTGTTCCTCATCCCATCCTTCAGGCTGTCGAAGACGCGGGTGACGCTGGAGCGGAGCTGCTGGATGGCGCCGATGGCGTGAGCGAAGGCGTCCAGGTTCACGCCGACACTCAGCGGCTCCGCCATTTTGCCGAGTGTCGCGCACTGATGACGTCTAACACACACACACACACACACACACACCCTCCCGCGCGCCAGGAAAAAGCGCCGCGAAGCAGGCCGGGACATGTAGTCTCTCTCCGCGGCGCCCAGCATGCGGCGCAGGCGCACTCGCACGCCACGTGCTTCCCTCTGGTCACCACTCAATCCACTGGGACGCAACGCCTTTTATCACGTCTTCCAGACGTCTCAAAGCGCTTCGCAGATTATACCGTAAAGTGAATTGACTGTGTATTTTGTGGGCGGACCGCGGCAGCCGATTGCGCGCAGCAGCGTCCCCCGCAAACAGTCGTGGATTGAAGTGACCAAATTATTATTATTATCATTATTATTATTATTATTATTATTTGTAAGGGATTTGTAATATCGGCAACAATCTCTTTCCACCCTCTAATTTGCTTCCCGTGGCCGCCCTGCACATCACTCAAGGCTGATGTTAGCAGCTGCTCCCAGCGCTGCAGCATCATGTCGAGGAGAGGATTATTTTTAACATTCCCCTCTAAGAGTGCAGTTCACCCGCAGGCTATTCACCAAGTTTCAGACGGCAAATCAAAATCCAGAGGAGTTCAAATCCCAACTCGGTCAATAAAGGGCGGCTTGATTGCTCGCTTCAGCAAGCACCAGCCAGGCTGGCTTCGCATTTCGGTTGGTTTTACACTCGAACCCAGGAGATGGAATCCGTGCCACTGACCCTACTCTGCTCTCTCCATGGTGCGGAGAATGGAGCATTCGAGCGGATGGGAGCCCGTGTGCAGTCAGGCTGGGTTCGCTCAGCCGCGGAACCTTTTACTGATCTGGAAACATCTCTTTAATTGGATCAATCTCCCCGGTCGATAATTGTTATCGATCGAAAAGAAAGTTCGAGACCACCAAGTTCAGTAAAGCAAACCAGCTTCAGAGTGACAGATAAAGAGGCTGTTTGTCCCCCACTTAATAAAAACAACAACTTGCGTTTACACAGCACCCTCCACACCAGGCAGCATCCCCACTCAAGCGTCTCACAAACAACCCTCTGTTGTTTTATTATGAAATTCCCCTTTCCCGATATCTCTTGTGAATGCGAGACCAATCGAACCTCATTAACATTCTAGCCTTTGGAATGAGTGCAAGCCTCACTTATCCTCACCACAAATGCTGGTAAATATCATGATGTTAAGGTATTCATTCATTCTAACTGGATTGTGGTGCAGAGGAGGGTGATTTAGCTAAGCTAAATGGGAGAAGAGAGAGAGAGAGAGAAAGAAAGAAAGAAAGAGAGAAAGAAAGAAAGAGAGAAAGAAAGAAAGAAAGAAAGAAAGAAAGAAAGAAAGAAAGAAAGAAAGAAAGAAAGAAAGAAAGAAAGAAAGAAAGAAAGAAAGAAAGAAAGAAAGAAAGAAAGAAAGAAAGAAAGAAAGAAAGAAAGAAAGAAAGAAAGAAAGAAAGAAAGAAAGAAAGCATAAATAATTACATAGTTAAGAGAGGGAAAGGAAAACATAGGAACATAGGTACAGGAGTAGTCCATTTAGCCTCTCAAACCTGTTCCCTCCATTCTATTACCATCCACAACCAATGCAGCTGAAACCCTTGTCCACGCATTTGTCACTTCATGGCTGGACATTCCAATGCCCTCCTCGCTGGTCTCCCCAGCTCCACCATACACAAAATCCAATTAATTCAAAACATCACCACTTACTGGTATGAAACTCCATACTCCCATCATACCAGTCCTTACCAGGCTCCACTGGCTCCCAATCACCAAACGGATCAATTTCAAGATCCTCTGACTCATTTTCAAATCACTTCATTCCCTCACACCTCCCTACCTATCCAACTTGCTTACCCCCCCACTCCACCACCCGATGCCTCTGCTCGGCTAGCTCTGGCCTCTTATTTGTCCCTTGTGCCCTCTGTTCCACCGTTGATGGTCATGCCTTCAGCCACTACACCCGAAACTCTGGAACTATCTCCCTCAATCCCCATACCATTGCAACAATCTATCGCTGGGATTTCCATGTGTAGGATGGATGCGCGGAAATCTCAGCTTGATTTGGATACTTTTAAGCATGGTGACGGGTTTCCGCATGTGTCAGACACCCGGCTGACCCCCAAAAAATCGCATTTACAGAGGCTCCTCCTGTCACCAACCACAGACCATGAATGTGTAAAAAACAGGCAGATCAGGCAGTTTCCAGCTTTGAACAAGTCACCACTTCTCCCACAGCTTTGTCCTACACGGAATGCTGAATCAATTTTTTTTAAACTATATTTTTATTGATTACCTTGTAGCTTGAACATTTTCTGATACACACAACATTAATCTTCGCCGTTGAGTTAGAATCACATCAAGCTGATCAGGAGAGCTCAAAGTGAGCTGAAATTGTAACCTTTGAGCTTCAGCCTTTTTTGCTGATATGGCAGAAGGGAGTGGGGTGGGAGGAGGAATAGGTTTTGGAGGAGAATTTCTGGATGGCTAATTTTATCGGAAGGTATACACACTCCAACTGAGAAAATAATACTCTGTCTTTTGATATAGTAATTCTACTACACTGAAGCAGCTCAAAAAGTGCTCCACAAGTAATTGCTGTCATTTGTGGACTGTGTATTTAATAATAATAATCCTTGTATTTGATATACAGTAACACCTTATCACTTCGTTGAGACGTCTCAAAGTCTTTCACAGAGTATATTGTAAAGTGGATTTGACTGTATTTTGTGGGTGAAACTCAGCAGCCAATTGCGCACAGCAGTGTCCCACACACAGTCGTGGATTGAATGACTTTTTTTGTGGGCAAACACGGTAGCAGCCAATTTAGGCACATTACTGTACCTCAAACAGCCAAGAAATAAATGGCAAATTTTATCTGGAGGATTGTTAATAATAAAAGTAATCATAATAACTTTTGCATTTGATATGGCACCTTATCGTGTCGTTGAGGCGTCTCAAAGCACTTTGCAGAATATATTGTAAAGCAGGGTGACTATGTATTTTGTTAGTCAGGACATTGGGGAAAAATTCACTGCACATATCAAAAACTTCTCCAGTTGAATCGGTCATTCACCTCATGGCTGTTACTGTAAAGTGCTTTGGCTTTTCAGCTATAAAAATCTAAGATCCTTCCTTCTCTTACTGAAGTTTCAAAACCACTACAATTTGGTAATTGACAAGGGAAAGAAAGGAGGGAATGGTGATTGTGGTGGTGGGGGGTTGTTGTAGCAATGGCCAAGACACCCACAGCAGAAGGTGCTTAGTGTTATTGCCTGTCATCAGAATTTTGTAAACTAGCACAGGTTAGGTTAAGGCAAACAGTCGCACTCCCACTTCCATCTGTTTGGCTTCTTGCTGATGGTAATGGGATTCACGTATCTGAGCTAGTGCCATCTCCAGTCAGCAGACTCGCCTGCCTGAAAGGATCTTTATTGTACAAATTGCTGGATAATTTGCCCAGCGACTTATAATGAAATTATCCTGAGGTTTTTGATGATGGAAGATACTCACCAGAAGAAAAAAAAACTGAATCACAATCGGAAGCAGAAACTAAATGTATTACACAATGCAAACTGGCTTTAATGGACAAAACGAGACACTTAACTCAATAAACTGCTACATTGCAGTCACTTACTGTCACTATTCTGTCCCCATTAAGATCAAGGAATGAGCAGGGTTGGCTGTGTCACTGCAGAGTGGAATGTGGAAGCTGAAATCAGTAGAGTGTGCGTTTTTAGAGAGAAAAAAAGGATCAAATGCTTTTCGGAGAAACATAACAACAATAATAATAAACCTTGCATTTAATATAGCACCTTATCACATCTTCGAATGTGAATTGACTGCATATTTTGTGGGCGAAACGCAGTAGCCAATTGCACACAGCAGTGTCCCACGAACAGTCGTGGATTGAGTGACCAAATTATTATTATTATTATTATAAGGGATTATCACCCCTGGAAAAGCAATCGCCAATCAACTAACAATCGGGTTCCTATTTACGTCTCGGTAAACAGAGGCATGTGGAGTTAGGAAACTTGCCTAATGTTTAATGTAAGAAGAAAAGTGAGAGTAAGTTGGTTGCACTCTCACCCCTTAGTCGCAATCTTGTGGGTTCAAGCCCTATATCAGGATTTTGAACTCAAAGTCTAGGTTGACGCTTCAATACAGCTCTTAAGGATTGCTGCTGTTTAGAGGTGCCGTGCTTTAGATGAGATGTTAAACCAAGGTCCCAGCATTTTTCCCAGCGTTCTGGCCAACAATCACCCAGACAAAATTGGCCATACACTTCATGGCTGTTTGTGGGATGTTCCTGTACATAATTTGCCTGCTGTGTTCGCTTTCAGAATACACAGTCACTACACTTTGCAGTAAATCCTGTGAAGTTCTTTGAGATGTCCTCTCAACATGAAAGGCATTAATATTAAATGTAAGGATTATGTTAATTTATATTATATTGCTCTGTGGTGCGGTCAGACATTGTGTAGCTCTGGACTATTGGTGGTTATGATAAATGATGAGGAAATTAGAAATGAAACAAAGTAATAACCAAATATTCAGTGATGTCACTACATGCAGAATACAGGGGCAGATGAGCACAGCACAACCTTCTAAACAAGGAGTAACTGAAATAATTATCTTTTAACTCGTGCAATTTTTCACTCTTGGTGACCGATAAGCACCGTATTTTTACACCTAGATTTAACGACACGAATAAAACCACCAAAGATCACGCAACTGTTGAGTTCGGAGTCTCTCTGACATCTGAAAGCAAACACATGGCCTCACCCATGTAATCTTCCGTGAAGATTATTTCGCACGTGATTGCGAAAGGCCACCTTCAAGCTGATCAATAATAAAAATGAATAAATTAGTAAAGCAATGTCACGCTGGGAGCTTGGCTGAACTTTCTGGACTTGGAATCCAATCTCAGTTGAATCAAGCTCAATACACTGAGTTACTGTTATCAGTGGAGTCAGGGGCAGGTGAGGTTGACTATTTGTGGGACATTGCTGTGTG